CATTCAAACTGTAATGAGCCGTCTGAATTGAAAATATTCAGACGTGTTCGAATGTCACGTCATATTCTACATTTGGTCGAAGTTGATAGTGAGAGCACTTGTGTTAACGCTGGCAGACTCTTAGTGGATAGGGTGCTAAAACGGGGCAGATGGCGGGTTCTACTTCTGCGCAGTTCATGGTGCTATCAGCGAGCGTTAGGCTTTTTTTGGGTTATGCCCACAAGGTGCAGTGAACCCCCAACCCCCACTGCGCCCGTGCCTTTAAAAGCCTTGAAGAAAAACTTTCCAAAGGGGGCTCCATGGAGGAAAACTCTCTACCATTTTACCAACCCATAGCTCCTCAGCGCATGCAGGGTGACGTGCTTCAATCAGCCAAGACTGATCAGAACAAAGTGAGCTTAAGTAGAACATGTCATTCTGTGGGAGCGGATGCAAACCCAGAACATCTTGACTCATAAATAGGGCAATCAAATGTAGGTTTGCTATTTGGATAAACAGAAACTTCTAAGAATGTAAGTCGACAGCTGCTGCTCCTGCTAAGAAGGAGGCAGCTCGGCTTCTCCGCTCCTGTAGTGTGTGGATGAGCAACACGGGAGAGAGAGCGTCTCTGGGGGTGTGTCTCTGCTGACTGGTGCTGATGCAAGCGCTGCCTCTGATTGGTCTGTTCGAGGAGATTGCTGCTGCTGGGTTGGACCTTTGATCCTGACCAACCCCTTGAACACTGAACCGGAGATACAGGGTCCCATGTTTTAATAAGGTCTAACTGGAACACTGTTTTTGTTCACCAGTCAATTCTAAAATTGAATGCGGAGTTAAATCCCAGATCAAAGCAGGTTTAAGTCTTCTGAATATTTGTTTGGTGTTTGAATGTTGTTTCAAATCTTATCTTTGTATCTTTGGATTGTGTCTTCATTTTTATGATTGCTGTGATGCAAGACACATTTCAGCCTCTGTCTGATTAAAGTTCTATGAATCAATCAGTTAAATCCAGCATGTGTCTGTGTGTTGATATCTGCAGGTTTGTGTAGACCTGATTTCTGACCGTGCTCAGGATAGAAGTCAAGCTGAATCTGGTGATTGTTTCCTTTGTCTAAAATGAGCATGTTTAGTATTTGTTTTGTAGAGATGAGAAGCCCTCTGTGGTGCCTTCTTCTCTTTTTTCTGCAGGTAAGAGATTTGTCATTTGTTTATAGTTTTGTTCCACGTCAGGGAAGATCAGAGCGAGCTGCAGGTCTCTGACGATAATTCATCTGCTTCTTTAGATCAGCATCGAGCTGTGCTGCTGAGGCACACATTCAGCTGTGTCCAGGTTTCCCCTTTGACTTTGGATGGGACACAATCTGTAACTGGAAAGACTGTGAGTGGAGTTGTCCATTTCAGCAGCAGTAAAACTTCAATTAATAGCTCGGGTCAAATCCAGTTAATTTATGAATCAGTACATTTTAAAACAGCAGCAGCCGACCAAAGTGCTGTATAATACATCTTATTTAGACTAATTCAGACCTGCTTTTCTTTGTCAAAACCTGCAGCAAGACGTGGCTCCTAAAAGGGACTGTGCCTTGAACTGGAATGGGCTTTCATTTGAAGTTTTATAATTTTACATTCAGAATGTCACATCCTTAAAAGCTGTGATAACATACTGTAAGGATATAGTCACCGCAGTTTGTCTAGAGGAGATATTCTCAACCAGTCTATCCTCAGGACCCACACCAACTCCCTCTTGAATAATCACAACCCACATTTCTGATAAATTTTAACCAATCATATTTAATTCATTTTAAAAAATGTGCAGTTTGGACCTCAGACGATACAAAACATGTGCAAGAAATCAGAAAATGTACCAAAATAAAATCATCTGAGAGTTTTTGACTTTTTTTCCTGCAGCTGCACATCCACGTCCCACTGAAAACAACCAAATGACCCATTTTAGGGTTCCGACCCACCAGTTGAGAAACCACTGGTCTACAGTACAAAGTATTAAAGGACTACATAAAAGTCTTTATTTCAGCTTTTAGGAAACACCAAAGCGTCTACATTGACTAATTTGCAGTACGTACTTTACATGACCTGTGGGATGAATGCATAAAACATTACATTGTCCTCATTACTCGAGCAGCATGAAATCACTTCTCCGATTTGTCTTGTCCTCCCTCACAAATGTTTCCCTCTTCCCACCCACCAAAAATAAAAAAGCAGAAATGAACATGCATTACTGATTATTCCTGCAGCCTTCTTTGTTGGTGGTAATAAGCCTATTTGGGCCTCCAGCTGGTTTTTCCTCACACACACAGTCAGCAAATAAGAGTGTGACAGTGTTCTCATGTGCATGTGTGCAGCTGTTAAGGGTGAGCTAAGTGTGAGGTTCACAGCAAGGCTCCACACTCTACTTTGATAAATGCTAATTACATGAGAGTTATATCTACCTGTGGCTCTGTTCACCAGGGCTGGAAACACTCTGTGTGTGGGGAAGCATCTGTACAAACCTTCTGAGGTGATAACTACACAAATTATCATCAATCAGAGGCGGAGTGTGGTGAGTTGAGATTTAAAAAGAGTCTTTCTCTGGGGGACATTTTGACAAATTGTGGACAGAAACTATCAGACAATGAGACCTTATGAGTGTGAACACTGATTTACTCTGGCTTTAAAATCAAGATCAAATCAACAGCTTGCTTAAAGGAAGAATATGAGCCTTCTCAAACATAAATATATCAAAAATGAAGTCTGTCCTGTGTAAATGTGTCTCTGAGTCCTGACTGTCTACAATGAGGGAGAAGCTCGAGTCCCACTGGCTGTGTTGTTGTCAGAGCCGTGTTTACATGGACGGGACGGCCGGCTCCTCCCCTTGTGTATAAAAGCTGTTTTAGTCAAGAACTAGAGAGAAGAAGAAGAACATACTCACTGATTATTTGGATGTTAGTAAGAGTTTTTGATCTCCGCCATTCTGTGTCAGTTTACATGAAATGTGAAGCTACGAGCTAACTAAAGAGCGCTAACATTAGCATGCTAACACAACAATGCAGCCACAGGCAACCGCAGCCTGAGCAAGGGGCAATTTAATCCGCCGCTTGCGCTTAACTCTTTTGTGCAAGCATGAGTGGAGGGAGGTTTGAGGGTTTGAGCGGAGGCTTCAGTGTGGAGGAGGCGTGGCCAAACAGCAGTTTGTTTTGGTTTCATGCTGGCGCTCATCTACTGGATCAAAAAGTGGCGCCATCCTTCTTTAAAGTTATTTGGATATTTTTCTATGCAGATACAGCAGAAGAAGTTTAAATGTGAACACCATATCTCGGCTCTCATTGGAGGAAAGCAAAAAGGTTTGCGTGATGGAAACTGCTTAAAGTGAGGCTACCTTTTCAATCCAACACTTATCTCCCCCCTCTTCTTTTACATCGAGGTCTTGCTTCACAGTCCAGACAGGTACAATTTTCACAGGTTAAACAGAACAAACTACTGATGGATCGCAGAAGACTATGATTTGATCCAACTTAGAAGACACATTGCAACAGTGGAAGGGGCAATTTTGACCAATTCAGCCTGAACTAAAAGCACAGGCGTGGACGTCAGCTCAGGTTACTGAAGTATCTGGACAGTAAAAAAAACAAGCTTGTCGATTTCCATGGCAACACATTGACTCTCAGCAAAGCTTTATTGTGATCAGATACTAGATTACATGTTTCATCCTTTCCACACAAACTCAATTTAAATATAGATGAACCCTTTTGCTTGAAACGGCATGTGACGACCCCTGACTCAGTCCTCTCTCTCCCCATTCAGGTTGCCTTCAGGTAGAAAGGGGCGGAGCCACATCATTTGATTTCTTGCAGCTGGGCAGGCTGGGCCTCAGCATTTAAGATAGCTTCTCAGACTCTCTCTCTCCCTCTCTGCCTCTCACCATCACCGACAAGTTTGTAATCTTTGTTTTGCTGCACCACCACACCACACAAACATTCACCCCTGATTTACAGACTGCAGATTCCTTTGTTAAACGTATAATATGTAGAATTTAATCACAATGTTTACATTCAAATATCTAAATGAATTAATAATGGACTCACCCTATTTTATATATTTTTGATGTTACCTGAAATATTTCCAACAGATATCAAAGCCACAGAAATCTGTGATTTTATATTTGTCGCGGGAGCCGCCATGATGAGCCACCATGACAGACACAAAATGTTTATCATCGCAGTGGAGAAGAAAAGAGAACTCCCATGATTCCCTGCTAGCCTAGACGTCATCTTTTGTTATCGTAGTAATGGTTTAGAGCCCCCTGGTGGTGGAATAAACATATTCTAGCTTTAAGATGTTTTGCATTCTTTTTCAATAAATTATTCTTTAAAGTACTTTACAACTGTGAGGTCTCCCTGTTTGTTCAGCTCACTGAGAAAATCTCCTAGGACAAATGCAAATCATATCAGATGGATTTTAATTTGTGTTTTCTTTTTTAAATTGTGTTATTTTTTTCTCAGAAAGATGTGCTTCTGAATCATCCCTTGAGCTGTACCTCTCCACAGAAATCTGTCTCTCAGCTCTCAGCTTTCAGTATTTTTTATTGGACAAATGAAAAGAAGAACTGTAGGAGACAAACTGTGTGTGCTGATGACTCACAGAAAGACAATGATGAGGAGACAAAAGAAAACTCACAGGGGCGTCCAGCCAGTGAGCATTTCTCTGATGTTCGTCTGTCTTGTAAATAAAACCCAAAACTCTGAAAAGCTGGAACATTATGTAAAATATTTGATAGAAAATAACTGAAAGACAACTTGTGAAATGTTGAAACCGAGAAAGGTCATTGCTTTTAAAGAGATGATATTCCCAATTTGAATGACAAGATGTTTCAAAAAGAGCTACAACAAAAAACTGAAAGGCTGGGAAAAAAACACCTGATGGAACATCATCACACAGTTTGTTCAGTTTATGGGAAACAGCTTATTACTAACAATATTATATAAATAATAAAGAGCATCCAAAAGAGGCCGAGTGTTTCTCAATGGGGT